TTCGTCAGAGAGCGAGAAACACTGTGTGTCTTTTCCCCATCTGTGCATGGTTGTATTCCGCTGCCTACTTTGATCTGTGTACAGTTTGGACTCTGTCTCCTCTCCCCTTCATCTTATGCATGTATGGGCATGTATGAGATTGTCTGTGTGTGAGTGGTGGTGAAAATCGTCAGACAACCAAGTTCATAACACACACTTGTTTGTATGCAGGTACCAAGACAGCATTCAGGCCAAGTGGAAGTCTGCAACTGTATGGGATCCAGGCCGTCGGCTGCGAGTCAATCTGAGCCACCGTGGGTGGGATACCTGAGGCAGGTCAATCCGGTCCAACACTACATAAGACCCTGCCTGCAGGGAGTCAGCATTCAGTCTTGCTATGTTGCCTTGATGCTGGCTGGACACTGGCTTGACGCTGGCTTGACGTTGGCTGTACGCTGGCACTGTGGTCGACGACGCAAGACTGCTGCTGCATGCTGACGCCTTTCTACTTCGGCACCAGCCTCTGCTAACGTGGCGCAAGGCCACGCTGTCTTCGACATTGCTGGTGTGGCGCATGCCACTCTGTCTTCATTGCTGATGTGGCATTTGCCACACTGTCTGCATTGCTGAGTTGGATGCGACAAGGAGGGAGATCGGGATCTGTGGATGATTGAGAGAGAACGGGATATTTACCTGCTGTTGATGTCGATTGCTGGTGTGGCGCATGCCACTCTGTTTTCATTGCTGATGTGGCATTTGCCACACTGTCTGCATTGCTGAGTTGGACGCGACAAGGAGGGAGATCGGGATCTGTGGATGATTGAGAGAGAACGGGATACTTACCTGCTGTTGATGTCGATACTGTGCGCCGCTGAACGTCTTCACGGGAGAACTGTGCCACGTGGCACTTTTGATGTGATCTGACCTGTCAGGCTCATTATTGGACACTGTTGTTGACATGAGAAGAGAGGGAAGCCCGGAGAAGTAGAGGGCATTGTTGGGCTGCTATCTCTGTGGTCATTGATGGGTATCTCTTCCACCCTCTAATCTGTCTATTCCCCCTCTCCTCTCTTCGTCTATTGGTTACCAGACATTGTATTACAGATCACATGCACAATTATTTGGAGACATTATTCAGAACTGACATTTCTTGTATTTCGACATCTGATGAGTATCTTCCAGACTGGATTCATTACATCTCTCTCCCTTTCCCGCTATTGGGCAAAGATGTCATGGGTTCTTTACGCACAGTCCTATCTAGTATGGATGAAGCACACCATTATCCATTCACGTTTTGATTCCCCAATAGATTTGGAACTTGGGGAGGCACTGATGAGACAAAATAGGAAAGGACAAAAAAGGAAGTTCCAACACACTTACAGGCCAATATCGACCAAGATTGAATCCATTGATATAAGCAACACCTTTACTCCAACTGCGCAATGCCAAGTATGTGTCTTTAGGTTTGTCGGAGATGATGAAACTCGCACTGTAGAAGGTTGGCCCCGCAACTTGACCTGGACATCAATCACAGAAACATGCACCTCCTCAAAAATCAACCAAAAAAAAAAAAAAAAAAACACTTCTTCTCCTCCTCCTCCTCCTCCTTAAACAATGGATAAGTGACCTTATGGTTCTTCTTTTGTTTAAGATACTTCCCATTTCAGGACGTGCATCAGTCCAAAAACAACCAGTTCCTTTTCCATAATGAAACGGTATTCACCAATTCGTGGTAGCTGAGGTAGATCCCAGGGCTCGATCCCTAGTTCCCCAACTTACCTGTGTACAATACCTGCG